ACTGGTAAAACTGTTAGTTTCGATATTCTTGCGGATAAACCACCTACAAAATGTGACCTGGGACAACGCATCAATGGTAATACATTGTGTAAAATAAAGCGAAGTGTCTTGAAATGTCTTTAACTGGATAATGGCATGACTTTTTTCGAAGAGATAGTTTGTAGTTATACCACCATTTGTAGGTATGTAAGTATGGATAATAAGTCAATAAGTGATGTTATAAAAATCAAATTTTTCTAGACCTAATGCTTATATAAAATTTTGGAGGGAGTTGTAATGCCAAAAACCCCCCCTCTCATGAGTGCGTTCCTGATTTTTTTAAACATCTGATGTAATTATTTTCATTGTTTTGTTGCCTCGAATAGATTTTGTTTTGTTTTTTTTTAATTCATCACAGCCTACTTAATTAAAATATAAAAACCGTTGATATAACTGGTATCTTATTTTCAATCATATGTTATGATGGCTCGTTGAAAAGAGAATTAAAAAGTCTATCAAGTAACCTAAAAATCCCATATGGCGCCTATTTAACTTTAGGAAGTTGGTAAATGTTCCTCAAAAGTAGCCATCTTGAATTTTTTTTGACATCAATTCTAAATTAAACGTATCAAAGACAGTAACTTTACTATAAAACTTTTTTTAATATCTCATACTTTCGATGATATAAGACATTCAAGGAAATGACCAATTTTAGTTTTTTTCAAGTTACGTCGAACCTATGCGACATTTTGAATTTCCAAAAGGAAATTTTAAATAAGCATCTAAAACTGCAAAACATTGCCCATTTAACCAATTCTCTATCGTTAATAATAACAAAGTTACCCATGCAATCCCACGCGATTTGGGACACACTGTATATTCAAAAACAATGTTTTTTTAAAAGAAGCTTTCTATGGTATCCAAAATTATAATGTTTGTTACCAATTTACGTACTTTCAATTTGTGGTCAGTCGCGTACTTCTGCATTATCAAAAGTGTTTTGTTTTAATGACAACTACTAGTTTCATAAAATAAAAACTCAAATTAAGGAAAACGTTATTCCTTTGTTAGTTATTTGAAAGCAATTTGTTGTGTCAAAGATAACTAAACAATTTTGAATAAATGTACATGCTCAAAAATTATGTACCTCTGGACTCTGGTGCGTCTACCGAGGCGTTTACTGCACACTTTTTTAAATGGAAAGCACTATTTTTCGTGACGTATTATTATAGAATGAACTTTTTTAAAAACCATGATCAAACTAGTAAAACTATTAAATGAATTATTACTAAACTATTTTCCTTAATATGAGTTTTTTTCTTAATTTGATCATGCTGCTATATACAAAAAAGAAGAATACGTAATGAAATCTAGTGGTTGTCGTTTTAACAATATATACCCCCTTTGACAATCTCAAAGTACGCCACTGGCCAGAAATTTAAAGTACGTAGATTGGTAGAAAACTTTTTCTAATATTGGAAAAGGCTTCTTTAAAAAAAAATGTTGTTTATAGGTATTCAGTGTTTCAAACAAAAATTCACCCTGTATAATAAGCTGCTTAAGCCATTGACCACTATTTTAGCATTGTGCAATCAAACCAGTAAGTTCATACAATCATACGTAAAGCAAAGGACCCACTATTTTATTTTGAAATAGCAATGGAAATAGGATGTGATTGCTATACTTATTGGGATATTCGGACAACACTGACAGCATTGATTATATAATCAATGCTGACAGTTCTGTTTTTAAAGACACAACAAAAGGCTTGTTCGTTAGGTACTTGAAGTTGCTTGAATCTGCTTAAAGTGCAGTTTAGAATCACTTCATATTTAAAGCAGTTTCCTACTTTCCAACGAACAAACGAAAATAGGTACAAAACAATGGATTGGAACTGGTATTTTGGAAAACAATAAATGACGAATGAGGATTTTTTAATTTAATTTATCAAAATTTGAAAACCTATACATGAACAAACACTTGCATTGTAAAATTTGGATCCTACCTTATTCCAAAGGTAATTGTTGTCTTTGCTTATTCCTAACTGATCAACAAATGTGCGTGAATCACCGTAGCTACACTTACACCAAACTAACTTTCCTTATGAGCAATGCGCAGTGGGGAGGTAATAACAATTGTATATTTGTTTATTGTACCATGCAACTAAACCACTCAACACTGTTGATACGTAATCTTAACGCGATTAAAATTTGTTGGCGTAGTCGTCATTTTTGTATCATTTGTTTAACATGCTTACGTAGGCCTACTGAGCGCATTATATTTTTACTTTGCATAAATCAACAATGAAGGCTTTGCTCATTTACTTACAGAACGTCCAAAACTGACAATTTATTTTTAAATAAAACGAATTTACTCAATAAAAAGTGTTTTTTTCTCGAAAATGATCAAGAAAGAAAAAGAACAAAATTCAGGCGTAATGTAGTAGAAGGGCAATAGCTTCTGAATTTCCTCGGCGAAATTTTTCACCAATTTGGATGTAATCTCACCAGTGGCAGATATGGCGTATCAATATGTCCGTGAAGGTAGCCCCTCAAATTCCGAATTTATATTCAATTTGCCGCTTACTAATTAATAAGTACCTATTTGTAAGCCAAGAATCTAAATTTGTAAATGAATTTTTGAATTTGTATAAAAAAAACAATTTTCGACAGCCCCATTATCTTCCAATATAAAAATTTTAGTACCGTCATTAATTAGTAAGTCATTTGTAAGAATTTGTAATCAAGTTGGCAAAATTTGTAATCAAACGGTATCTCTTAAATTTCAAAAAAATATTGTGCGGTTAATTTATCGGGACCCGTACTCAGGGCCGTAGCTAGAACTAAAATTGTAAGGGTGCAAACGAAATGTTGGAGGGTGCACTTACAAAAATGAAGTCTCGAGAGACTTGTTTGTCAAAAAAGCCAAAAATATATTTAAAAAACTAATTTTATCCAATATATATTATATATTAAAAAAAAACAAAAGATGTAACATAAAATAAACGTAACATAAATATGTCAATCGAATCAATATTTAAGCATGCAAAAAAATATTAGATAAAAATATAGTTTATCTAATACAATTTATTTATAACAATAGAAAAAAGCTGGAATATATTTATTAAAATAGTTGCAACCTTCTCTCTTTGGCATGAAATTCTCTATGTCTGAATCTGAGTTATTTAAACTTGTTACTTTGGAATCAAATTGCATAATTCTAATAATCATTATTGTACTCATACTACAAAATGTAGTATATAGGGACTATAATTATCAAAAATAATCATTTTTATTCAATTTTATTGCAATAATTATGAACAACAATGCTGAAAGGGGATATGACCATAGCAATCGAACCCTAATTAAAAAAAAAAAAAAAAAAAAAAAAAAAACAATAGTATTGTATATTTGTGATAATTAATTTACGATGTACAAAAATAGCACTATTGTACATTTTTATTTTACGATTCTGGTCGTGATCGATCAGAGGGTGCCACTTAATATCCAGAGGGTGCCAGGAACCCTCTGGCACCCCCTGGCTACGGCCCTGCCCGTACTACTTTCAAGAACAATATTTTTGTTTTATGGCCGTTTGCACCGACAAATTTAAGTGGAGCTTAGCGTAAGCGTAGCTTAAAATCCATGGCAACCATTGTCTCAATAATCGTTGCCATGGATTTTAAGCGACGCTTAAGCTAAACGCCGCTTAAATTTGTCGGTGCAAACGGGCATTAATCGTTATTTACTAAGTGATTTGTAACAATTTGTAAGCATAATCTCACAATTTGTAAGCCACTTTATTAGTACTTACAGTCCAAATTACGCTCTCGGGGCTAACTGCACGAATGTCTCGGAACATAGAGAAACGGTTAAAATTGTTTGCATCTTTAAAGAGTGATTAGTAAGTCGTACGTTTTAATTTGTAAGCATTATCTCATTTTTTGTAACCCAATCACAATGGCCCAAACTTAAATTTAAGTATGTGCATATACTACATGCACACAGATTTTAAATTAAGCTTTAATTTGATGTTTACGAATTACTTGAAGTAGTATGTTATTAGAAAGTATTAATGAAGTAAACATCTGACTTTGCAAGTGAATTTCCCAATTCTGGGACACTCCATCTACATTGGAATATGAACATTTTGGTTGAATTAATAATTAGTGTGAAAGAAATGTTTAAATTTGTTTGTATTTCTAAATAGGAATTAGTAAGTCTTCTGCACTTACTCATTTGTAAGTTACTTTATTACTATTTAGAGTCCATAATGCGTTCTTGTGGGGCTAACTTCACGAATGTTTTAAAGCAGGGAAATGGTTAAACATATTTGTATTTCCAAATACAAAACACACATAATAATAGTACATTATATATCAAGGTAGAGAAGTACAGTATTATTGACTGAGCACCAAGATTACATCTCGAGGCGCTTGCGCCGAGGGGTGTAAGGTGCGAAGGCAATAATAGACTTCTCTACCGTGGTATATATACTATTTTTTTCACTACTAGCACTTGAAATCTTCTAAATTAACATATTATATTGATAAGAAAGTGACCGGTTGGA